AGTGCTTTCATTCTGGGAGACTCAAAGTTTGCAGCTCAACTATACAAATATTGAGCTCTCTCTCTGCTGGGTCCTGCCAGATCAGTCCCAGGAATATAAAAGACCAAAGTTAAGTTAGCATTCCAGTGTTTAGTGCTGCAGTCCCCAGGGACTAGGGTTACCATATGCCCGGGTTTTCCCAGACCTGTCTTCTTTTTGGGTCCTCCGGGTAGTTTTAAAAAATATCATCAAATGTCCAGGATTTTGCTCTACTCAACACTGAAGTTTTCCCCAGCACTTCCCAGCTTGCCCTAGCAAAGAGCTGCTTGGGGCTGGAGGAAGTGGGGGGAAGGTGATTGGAGGCAGGGGGCATCACATGCATCTCTGCACACACATCCATGTGGCCAGCATGCAGCCAGGCAGGGTGGTGGGAGCAGCCCTGGCAGCTGCATGCAGGTAAGTCTGTGAGGGGTGGGAACTGGAAGGCCAGGACTTGAGGACTGTCCAGGGGGCTGTGTGTATGGTAGGGTGTGCAGAGGGATGGCTATGGCGAGGGGCACTGCCTGCCAGCACTGGGGGAAGCTGTCCAGATACTGGGGCTGCAGCAAGGCGGGGGAGGCAACTGCCCCTCCAGTGGGGGAAGCGGGAAGGGGGGCAGCAGGGAGCTGTGTGGTCTGGCCGGTGGCACTGGGGCTGGTGCCCTTGCTTGCAAGGGTAGGGCAACTGGGAGATGCTGCAGGGCTGGAAGGAGCATAGGACTGCGGGTCAGGAGTGAGGGGTACTGGCGGGGCTGGGGGGAGTGAGAGGCACCAGGGAAGGTGGGGATCTGTGGGTCAGGAACATGGGATTCAGGCAGTACCAAGGAGCTGCGCGCAGGGCACCGGCGTGGTCTGGAGGGTGGGGTACTATGGGTCAGGAGTGAGGGGCAGCAGCAGGGCTGGGAGGGGCTGTGGCTTGGGAGTAAGGGGCAGGAGCAGGGCATGGGCATATCACTACCCCCCTGCAATCATACTACCACCACCCCAACAGGTGTCCTCTTTTTTGAAAATGGAAATATGATAACCCTACCAGAGACCATGTGTGTGTAAAAGTGAGATCCAGGACGTGATTCTGTTGATCAGCCTAACCGTAAACCCTCAGCTCCAAATTGCCCGTCTTTGAGTGAGTTGAGCTCTGAACAGGAGTCAGAACTGAATTTTCCTCTCTTCAAATAAACCAGAGCAAAACAGTCTCATTGCAGTCTTAGCCTGCAGTCAGGCAGGCCTCCTGCATTCCTGGATCCCAAACTGCGCCTCTAATATGACATCACTTTGCCTGGGGTCAAGTGTCAACTGTGAGACCCATTTTCAGTGAAATCCAGATCAGGGTATTATCCTCTTTGGGCGCGTCTACACGTGATTCTACATCACCGTACCAATGCGCTATGGCAACATAGCTCATCGCTATGGCAACGTAGCGTTGGTGGGCACAAATTTTGGTGCCAACGCTATGTCACCGCAGCAACAAGCTACCTCACTATAGCACTTCACTATGGCGACGTAGCTGCTAAAAACAACCGTGTGCCGTCATGGAGTATTTCCTAAAGCAAGAACTGAATGATGGCGTGGTACCATATAGACGTGCCCTTTGTTTCTTGGGAAATTACCTAACAACAAGAGTAACCTCCTCCATGAGTTTCCCTGTGCCAGGACTGATGGAGGGAAGGCTTTTACAAAAGCAACCTTATTGAGATTTTCTTGGTCAAAGCTAGCATGAGAAAGGCAAACTCTTTTATAAATACAAGTACAGATTTTAATGTGTTGGACTGTGCTTCTATGCAACTGGCTCTTTATTTCCTCTACTTCCCTTCACCATTGGACATAGCAGTGGGCTTCATTTTTTAAAGTGTTTGGAAACCCTTTGGGGTTTGCAGAAGTGATAGACTGTGCAATGACCAGTACTCAAGTGTCTGGTTTGGGACCATTTCATCCAAGATTCCACCTTGATGCATGCACTTAGTTTGAACACATAAGCAGAGCAAATCTGCATTTTATGGCCCCCAGCTCTTTTGAAACAAACGGCTTGGGAAAGATTAACCAAAACTTCCTCCTTCCCCACCTGTGTAAATTGTTTTTGTGTAGAGACAAGTTTCATGAGAAGCTAATTTCAACACCCTTGGCAGTTGGGAGCTTCATTCCTGCTAGACTAGCCCATGCACACATGTCTGTCCACACTCTTCCGTTCTTCTCTTGGTCACTGCTTTTCAATGCTGAGCTGCTCACAGCTGACACTAATTACAGAATAGACTCAGAGTCAGTCCAGACATTAATAACTTGGCACCTGGATGAATTCCTTGGCCACAATTTAGGCTTGAAAATAGCAGAGAGAGTCAGGCTGCTACTTATTCATAAGCTACACTCCCAAATCTGGCAGGAGCTACAGCCTATGTTTCCTATAGAACCCCAAGGATTACCGCAATAGCTGTTTGCTTCATAACAATAGTTTAGCACCTTTTCCCTAACAACTATTATATAGGACTTGTAAGGTGCTTTACAAATATCAATATTAATGTACTGTTCTACTATAATAATCCATAATAATATATTAGAATATATTTAAAATGACAAATATAGTATAATACTTTCATTAGCACTTGTGTAATATTAATTAGTATTCATCCAATACCCTGAATATTCATTCACAGTAGGAAAATATCATTCCTATTTTACTGATGGGCAAACAGGAAGCACATAGTAAGTCACCACCACATAGCATTAGAGACATCTATACCTCTAAAAGGAGTTCACCACTTTGAACTCAGAAAAGTCTGTATTCCATTTTAACCTCTACAATAAGTTACAGGCCCTGAAATGCTATGAGTTATAAATCATAGCTGCCATTAACAGCTAGTGAATTCCTCAGGGAACTTGGTCACCTGCATAGATGAAATGATAATAACCTCATTGCCTTATGGAAGCAGTAGTTCAGAGCTAAACTAGCCAGATACAGATTTCAGACTTTCTATGTCTGCAATACTAATTGGGTGGAGCTGCTTGTAACTTCTGCACCTTCACTTGGACTAAGGAGAATGATTAGCATTTTTAGAGAAGGTCATACAAGATGATTTGGGAGGTTGGTAATGAACTACAGAATCTTTCACCTCCAGATGCGGTTTGCATCCTGACACAGTTAAGACAAAAAGGCATTCAGGTCTGATAGCTGTTCAGCCTCCCACGATAAATGAGTTTGGTACTCTTCAGTCCATTTCCTTGTGAATGTGTGTCCGCATCATAATGATCAATATTATAACTGGCACCTTTGCTAGTACTTCCGAGAGAGAAGTTAAAGACGAAATGGACCGTGGAAGCTGAACACCTCTTTCACTCATAGAGATTCCACTAACGAACAGAGCTGAGTCAATCTGAGAAAGCAGTGCTTAAGAAGTGTGCACTGCCTGCTCTGTAGGTGAAAAGAGGACTCTAGATCTGGAAGTCTGGAAAATACATCACCAGTCAGTTACATACTGGCGTAACATTGGGGCCCTTGTTTCTTATCCAGTCCTAGTGATGACATTGCCCCAGCCCAAAATATTTTCAGGACACTCTGATGAACCTGAAAGACTAGACTGCAGGATGTGTAATGAATGCCTCTCTCTGATTCTGCCTAGGCTGGAGAGCCCCCACTTCAGCTCAGCTCTTCCTCCTCAGTAATTAACAAAATCTAAAATGCATTGGAGAGTCACTGTAGAGAAATATAAAGAACGAGAGAGATTCATTTATACTCATGCAACCCCACTGAGTCAGACTGCACCTAGAGATAGCACAAAGCCAATCAAAAGAGATTAGGAAAACAAACCTATGGCAAAAAACTGAGACAGGAGTTGTTAGACAATGGGGTGTTTTCCGTGACCTCCATAAGGATGATCTCGTCTACAGGGTGTCTGGACACATAACTGAGACTTTTGCTCAAAGCAACAACCTTGGGGAGAAAAGTCCTAATCTTTAGGTCCCTGACCTGCACGCATCCCAGTGATGTCTCATCACTGCTTCTGGGCAGCCACTCTCAACCTCGTGTTGTGGTACTAGCCAGATGAAACACTAACTGAATCCTCTGCACCTGTCATCCAGCTCCCCTGCTATCTGAGCCAACAGCACTAGCTGCCAGCCAAATGAAACAGGGCTGGGCAGGGCATCACCTCACACCAGAGGAAGGAAGCCAAAAATATTAAAAGGCTCTTTACCAATGTTGTAAATGAACTGACATCCCTTTCTCCAGCCCATATATGTGCCATCTGATACGCTCTCTCATGGGAGTCTAGGCTGGGTTAGATTAATTTTAAACACCATGCTGAGGGCTAAATTTGTGCACTGTGTGCAATGCTCATTGATTGTTTCTGTGTTGCTCAGGTCAGGTAAGCAATTAATAGTATCAGCCTTTGGCAACGAGCTCCATGATCTTTGCAGAGCATTTGAAAGGGAGATCTGGCTTCATTAAGTGTCTGGTCATTAACCTCTTAAGACCCTCTGGGTGCAAATCCATTAATACTGAATGTAAAACCCCAGATAATCCCAGCAATGGTTGTAAAGCATTAAAACAAACCAAAAAGACATATTCTCAATTACCCTGGTGACCCAGGCAAGCACAGCAATGCATGGAGCTTGAGCAACTGCAGTTAGGAGGGGCTGGTGGATGTTGCCTCCATCTTCCAGCTTCCCATTTCATGGAGGGAGGAAGTTACAACTGAGCCTAATATATAGGAAATAGGTGGGGACTCGGGATGGCTTTCCTGAAGGGAAGTGGTAAAGGGAAGTGCTGTGGGCTTCAGTGGGGAAGCAGCCAAATAAGACTCCACAAAATTGTTAGGCTGCAGCAGGTTTTTCTGGACCTAAAATCCCATCAGACACAACTCCCCTTGTCTACATTTGATACCCACCTGCTGAATGTCAATGTTATCTCTTAGATGACTGGTGGGGTGGGGATGTCTGCGTGTATAAAGAACAATCACCATTCAGCCTCCTCGACTCTCTTTTTCTGTCTCTCAGGAAAACTTGCAGAAGCTGGTACACATTGAGCACAGTGTCAGGGGGCAGAGCAACCTCCTCCAGCCAGGAAGGGTGAGTGCTGCAGCTCTGATAAGAACATTGTTTTCAACCAGCTTTCTTTCTGTCTGCCTGGGGATTGTGAGATTTCAGCCCTGGTGTCTACAGGTGTTGTCGACTGGGCCCCTCTGATAAGAGTCAAAGTCCTGGTTTGTGTAAAAAGCTGTCACTCAGCCAGTGCTCAGATGGACACGCCAAGTCCTGCTCATTAGGAGGGGTAGAGGCTGCCCCTGTTTGTAATCAAAGTAAAGATTGGTTTCCATGCTGGCTACCCCCAGAGTTCGGCCTGCACCGTATACTTGAGCAGAGTCGCTATTTTTCTCCCCAGATATCCTTGTTTAACATTTTGAACATTGGCAGGTCCAAACTGTTGGCTGGGGGGCAGCCTTACATGAGGGAAAATGATTGTTCAGCATAATTATTCTTATCATTCCCTAGAGGTATTTTTGTGTACTATATCATTTGTGTGTGTGTGTTTATATCACACATGCATGTACAAACACAGACACAGATTTCACACATTAAAATCCCTTCTCCAGCTCTGTTTTGCTTCTGACATCAATTCAAGCTGTTTTTCCTCATTTTCAAGCCCATACAGGTTAGCTCCTTTGTATCCCTCTGCTCCACAATGTTTCTTACATGAGCCCTACAGCTTTATAGCTCCCTTCAGTCTCACTGGGCATGTCTACATGAGACACTACTGCACAGTTGTTCCTGTGCATTTATTTAGTACTTGTTGTAGCACCCTTGAAAGCATCCTTCTACAAGTACTAATACGTGCATAATAACCCAAGTTATTGTGCAGTAGTGCTGGCAAATGCCGTTTTTTGGACGCTTTCGCGCAGTAGCTTAATACTGCTGTACAGTAGTGGCACATCATGTTTTTTTGCCACGCGACACTACTGTACAGTAGTATCAGGCTACTGCACAGTCAGCATCTCATGTAGACACTCCCACTGTATCTTAAATACAATTATTGTGTAACCCTCAAGATATTCACACCACTACTATCCTGACATATGTCATGACCTCACCACTGCAGCTCCAGCCTGCTTTGTCTCTACCATTCTGGGATTGTCACCATCTCTGATTAGGTAATATCTTAACGTATATGCTACATGTGGAGATGCTATGATTGCAGGACTCTTGCAGTCTATTTTCTCTTGGTTTTTGTTTTTCCATACTCATTGTTGCAGGGTGTTTTAGAAGATGAATGTTATTTAATGGAAGTCTGTTGAGTGTTGGCCCAGCCATCTACAAATGTCACCTCTGTATAAACCAGTGATTCTTAACCAGGGTGCCGTGGCAGTCTGAGGTCCCTTTAGAGCCTTTCTAAGGTGCCACAGAGTGCCACACACTGTTAGCACTGTTAGGTGTGCAAGCATAATTCACAAGATAAACTCAGAGATTTCAAACAGGAATCCATAGTGTTAAAACATTCTGGCCTGTTATAGCTTTTCTGAGTTCTTTGCAACTGAAGAATTGCTGTATTATTTTTCTATAGGCAAAAAACAAGAGAAAACTGCAAGCTGGCATTTTCTGACAGATGCATTGAGTCTAAAAAGGTTAAGAACCACTTGTATAAACACAGTTCATCATGGGTGACTGGTGCCTCCTGAGTCTGGGGGGGCACCCGTAGAAGCAGGCGGCAGTGGTGGCAGTGGGGACGGGGCTGGCGAGCACCTGCAGAACCCAATGGTGGCATCGACAGCAGGGATGGGGCTGGCAAGCACCCACAGAAGCCACCATGGTGCTGGTGGCGGGGACAGGGCTGGCAAGCACCCGCAGAAGAGCTAGTGGCGTCACTGGCGGGGGATGGCTCTGTCAGGGGGCACATGTCCCCACCCCTTGTCCTCCCACTACCAGTCACCTATGCAGCCCATGGTGGGAAAGCTTATCAAGCTTGAAACTGCCCTGCCCCTCACAAACTGCATTCTGATTTCAACACTTAGCACTGGCACAATAAAGAGCCACAATAAAATTGGCTGTTCCAAATACTACCTAAACTTACCGTCTCATAAACCTATGGGCTTATAGTGACACACGGGTTCAAATCTCCTCATAGTGAAGTCATGTAACACAACCCTTCATTCTGAAGGGTGATTAACATTCGCAGGGATGTTACTGATGCTCCTGTTCCTTCCTTCAGGAGTTTGTTAAAGAAGGAACGCTGATGAAAGTGTCCGGGAAGAACAGGCACCCGCGGCATTTGTTCTTGGTAAGGATATTTTATTGTCTTGTTGCCTTTTTCATAACTTGCAGAGGGCTGCCCTGGCTCTATGGCTGGGCAGAGCAATGGGCCTGCTGGGTCATCGGGTAGCTCTGAAGATGAAATGTGTTGACTTGCGCAAACAAGTGAGATGTTGCCCCATACAAGTGTACAAGTGCCCCTAATTTCTAATTTAAGTCTTATGGTTGAGAAAAATTAATGTCTTTTATTTTTTTTAGTATTTGAGATTTTTATTCCTTTGGCATTAGACAGTATTGTCTAGTCACTAGTACTTACAGAAGGGATGAGGGAGTCCAGACCCCTGAGTTCTACTCTCAACTTAATAACTAGCGTATTTGTAAATGAGGGCAAGACACTTCAGCTTCTGTACCTCATTCTTTAAATGAGGGGCTCTGTGGTAGTGATTTCCAGTTAAGGAACAATTTCAGATTTCAGGGGAAGGTTCAGCTGCTCAAATCCAGACGTTAACTGCAGGGGTTGAAATAATAATAATCTCTTTGGCATCTGGGAATGTTGCAGGAACCAGTTCACAGTGTTAAATAGACATACTGACTATAGAACAATGGCAGCTTGTTCCTCTTCCTAGTTGAAATGCAAGGTGTGGCCAGATTGGTATGAAGACGTGAGGTACCTGGTACATTAGACATAAAGGCCAGTTTTTAAAAATAGAGATGTACAGGGCTGGGTTCTTTCTTCGTATATCTTCGCTGAACCAATGGAAATATATAGGGGGATTTGGACTCACTCTTCTCCCTCTTGTTGAGGTATGTGCTCAGTTCTTGAAACAGTTTGAAACTTGTTAGCAATGATCTATCACTGGGCTCAGTTTAGGGACTGGGACCCAATTTTCTGTCCCCAGGAGCTGGAGAGCAGAGATGAGAGAATAAAGGAGAAGAGTACTTCATAGACTACAGCTGTAGCCCAGGAATAAGGAGGAGTGATTCTTATGTTAAAGCCCAAATATTTTTGTATTTTCCTCCTCTTTCCAGTAACACTGCAGTCTGCAATGGCACCATGAATCACATTAGCGTTTACTAGCCTATTTACCCTGTTTATCTAGTAAAGAGACCACTGTGCATCTGTTCTGTATTTCAGTCTTGAAATATAGCACCACTGTTATACCAGTCTTAAGACCCTGCCAGTCTGCCAAAACAACCGATCAGGGCAACACCCCATTATCTAAATCCAGGACATGCACACCCATGTACTTCTGTGCCAACGCACTTCTGCCTTGACCTGCAGCACCCAGATAGGAGTCTTTAGTAGAGAGAGAGTTTACCCAACCCTGCAGCACTGAGACATGCCACATTATATGGCATGTCTTAGCCCAGCAATTAGCAGCCTACTCCAACTGCCCCCATCAAAGTTAAGACAAGGCTGAGGGTTTTGCAAAATCCCAGTGTTAGAGCACATGCTGAAGGATAAGTTTCAGAAAGGGCTCTGTCCCCAAGTAAACAAGCCATACAACGGTTGTGGTTAGAACATGCAATTAAAATGGCATGTGTCTCTGCCAGGTCGTGTTGGCTTTTGTGTTTTGTATCCATATCTGTGTTGTATGTATATTTATCATCTGAGTGTATGAGCATATGTCTACAATGTGCCGTGGGTATTTATATAGACATATGTGTAGCGTGTATATGTAGGCATTTGATGCACGTGTTCATGTGCATATATCAGTGGGTGTCTGCTGTGCATGTGTGTCCTGCAAAGCTGCTGGTGCTGGGTGTCTTGTGTAGGCCAATGGTATTGTTGAATCTGGTGTTTCCTGGCAGGATGTTTGGTGTGTTTCGCTGGGCGCCTGTTTCCTGAGTCCAGTCTCTGTTTACACGGATGTTGGAGCCTCTTTGCAGAGAGCACAGAATAGGCGGGTAAAGCTGGCAGGCCCCCTAATTGCCCCCCGACTGCAGGACTCTTCGACTCAGACACTATCTCTTATCTCACACTTCCAAGAATTTCTCTACAAAGGCTGCTTGTGTTGGAAGTGAGGCAGAGGAAGCTGCAATCAGGCTGGGAAATTTTGTTTAACGCTCCAGACAGAACGGCTGGAGCGTAGCAGGGTTCTGAAAACCTGGATTTGGAAAGGGAACCCCCCCACACACACACAACTTCAGACACAATCCTTCACTATTAAAGCAATAAGTGTTTCACCATAGACTTGAACAGGAGCAGCACAAGGGCCTAAAGAACAACCTCTGAAACTTTCAGCACAATGAAACATCTGGCAGAAGTTTCTGGCAAAAGACTGCTGTGCAATGATGTGTCAAAATGTTAGTACTAAGGGATAGGGGAATTTGCTTGGGCTAATTAGAGTAGAAGTGTCCATCTTTCTCCTTGCTCAGTTAGTTCTTGGAAGACTAGTCGTCTCAGGAAATGTGTTCCTGGACTTGGTGCATGTGGTTTGTGTGTGTTGAGAGGCGTGCGATGGGACTATTGATTTCACCCTCGGTATTCCCTGTTTAGTTCAGAAATCCCAGGCATTTAAAAATTCTCTGTGATCACTCATATGCTGGAAATGGAGTCAACACCTTTGGATTTCTAGGAGTTTCTCCAGACATCGTGGCAGTGTATCCTCTTCTACCGCAGTTACCCTGGGATTCCTAAAGGACACCAGGATGTCTTTCGTTCTTTCCTAGAAGCCACTGCTTCAGGAAGCTGTGCAGAGGAGTTATGGGATAGATACCCTGGGGGCTGTGCAACTTCAGTGGTGTCACAGAGCACAACTGGGGCAATGCTGCCATCAAAACGTGGCTGGTGGGCACCCACTGAATGCTGGCTAACACCACTACTGTCCCATTACCCATCACTCAGTTCTTCAGAGTAGACCCTCACATGGAAAGCAGCTGATAGTGCAGACCCAGAGGCCTTTCGATGTATAGGTCTGCCACCTGTCAAGCTTGGAAACATATATCCTAATCCGCTTGCAATAAGTTAAAACTAGGGGAGACCTAAAAGCCATTAGAGCCATATTTTCCTCAATATAAAATAGAAGCAGTAGCAAAACTTCAGTGGGGCAATTAGAAAATAAAACCATAGTTAGTGTTTAATAAAATCTTGGGATACTAACCCAGGCTCCCATGATAACCGCAGGCATGCTGGTGGTGTTTGCATTAACCAACAGCAACCAAAGTGTGATGGGGTTTTTTTAATAATTTTTATATATAAAATCAACAGGGCTTGTGGCCAAAGAGGCATAGTTATGCATGCTGGGGAAGCCCTGATAATGTCTTTTATGAGCTAATATTCTTTGCTTAAGTGCCCTTCATTAACTGCCTTTTTCTGTGGTTTGGAATGACCCTGAAGCATGCGGCAGTGTGAACTGCTTCTTTTTCTAATCCAGTAATCTCTCGAAAACTTGAGGTCTGCATTCAACCAGCTCTCTGGCCATGTTCTCTCCCCTGGCAGAATCTCCAGGCAGATGCGAAAATTCACAAATGGCCATTTTCAGCTGCTAATACTAAAACAAATCTGTCTTTTTTTTTTTTTTTTTAAGTGTCTGCTGAGGTCAGGTCCCAGCTAAAACTAGCTTAGATCTACACATCCAGTAACATCAAGCAAACAATAAACAATAGTGTACTCCAGTCGTTTCTCAGCGCAGTTTGATATAGCTCAGGATTTCCCACCTTAACCTTCCAGGAGGTCGGGACTAATTCCTCTCATTGGCTATGCACAGTTTCTGGTTAAATTGGGAACTGTTGTACGGTCAGTCCTGGGCATGTGTCACACTGCGATTGGATTGATGTTAGCATGGAGGGTAATTTATGAAGCAATAAGTAAATGGCATAAAAACTCCATGACAAGCCATTTGTTACCTTGTTGTATGGAAATTCTATTGTCTCGCACTTAGAGGAACAAATACTCCAGTGCAGAACAGAGACTGCAGAATGAGTCTTTTCTTCTCTTTCAAGGTTTCGGTTTCAATATAATAATAATACTCTATGGAACGCAAAGAGCTGTAGAAATATTGGTGAATTATGCCTCAGAATTGAGAAGCATGTACTGGAGTTGATATTCTGGTTTGGCAACTGAGCTAAAAAATAGGGGGGGTGGAATGCAGCTTGGGTCAAACTGAAATACATTTCTTTGGGGTTTTTCAGAAGGGAAAAAAGAAAGAATGAATTTGTGTCAACCAGGAATATTTCTTCTGACCCAGCACAAAACATTTTGCTTAGTGTTCAGGTTATTAACCCTTCTTTCAATTTAGGTCCATTTTAAATGAAACATGCTATTAAAAATCACCTAAACTATATCAAAATGAATGTTTATATATTTATGTTCTCCGAGGTTTTATTTCCCTGTGTTTTTCAGTCAAAACTGCTAACCTAATTTCACCCAAATTCAGTTTGTTTCCTTAATACTGAATGAATTTACTGTTTGTTGAAAAAATTTCAACCAGCTCCAAAAAGCATCCCACTTTCAGAGAAAAGATCCTGGGAATCAGAAAAGTGATTTGCTAACAATCGAACAGTAAACTAGTGGTAGCATCAAGAAGAGAGCCCAAATATGAATGTCTGACCTCAATGAATCCAATGGAAGTTTGGCCTTTGGCTTCAGCGTGGCCAAGATTTCACCCCAGGAGTCCCGACTGTGCCATGATCTACCATGTACCCAACTGTACCTTTCCTAACCACTAGAAACGATTCCCTCGCATCAAGTAAGATGAACAGTGACCTCCTAAGAAAACATTCACAGGATTTCACTTTCCATTTTCAAGGCAAGGGCATAAGTGGAAGCAGGAGAGGGAGGGCCCAGCAAAGGAAATGAGCAGGTAGTGACTCAACTCCCTGGGATGTCCCGTTCCAACGACATTTTGGTGATCTCAAAAGGGAGGCAGAATTAGCAGCTAGACCTGTTAAACCAGTGGAGATTAGTGTGTCCCATTTTGTCTGAACCTATTTTATTAACTCATACATTACATAAAGGAGCATAAAAACAAGATTTTAGGTAGCGGATGGATTTTTTTCACAAAATGGAGCAGAGGTTTCTCAGCCCTTTGGTGCAGCACAAGGAACCAGTCTACTGAGGATAGTCCTCCAAAGCCCTCTTTGCAGGGAGTAGATAAACTACTATGAGTTAGCTTCCACCTACTGCAGGGTGCAAGCAGACACAAGGGCAGCTATTGTAGAGCCGCTGGCACATTGTAAACCCCTGCCCTCATTTACCTCTCAGTAGGTTGCTCCTGTGCCCATGCATACTCATAGGCATCAAGTCCGGATTCGGGCACACTCCCCAAGAACATGGCAACTATCTCCACTCTGAACTCTCTTCTTCCCTAAGGACCCCTGAGACTGGAAGGCTGTCTGATGCTGTAGGGTCTTTAGTGCCAAGGCCTAGCCCTAATTGCAGATTACTTGTAGCCTCATTCGGGAAATAGTGCAAGGTTGCTCACAGCTGAATGAGGTTAATGCTTTCAGCCTTAACCAGGGGATGGCAACATTTGTTGCCTTCTACCCTGCTTTTCCACAGCCATCTCCATGCCTCTTCCATTTAATCCCTCATGTTTCACTTCTGCTATATGGTGGCAGTAACTGCTGTTTCTCCCAGTCCTGAGTACAGCTGTGGTCCAGTAGTGCTGCTTTTAATGGGGTTACCCAAGGTGTGTATGTGCCACTGTGCTTTTCAAAATATGTGTAGCATTTCCCTTAAGAGAGACATTCCTTGAACAAAGAGTAGACTGTTCCCTAGAGACTGGCAGCAGTCAGAAATGTGCAGGACCTCAAATCCAAACACCATCCCTCCCCCCCAGCTTTGTGGAAATGCAGATTTGGGTCTGAACTTTGTGGCTCAAGCCTGTCTTTCATAGCAATCCATGCAGTTCATCAAGTCATTGCTTGCTCCAGGCTGCCCTCCTCCAAGGAATAATGGTCAGGCCTGCAAGACATATTGCAAATTATTGATTTTGTCTTTCTCTTCATATAGATGAATGATGTTCTGCTGTACACTTATCCCCAGAAGGATGGCAAATACCGACTGAAAAACACCTTGGCTGTGTCCGGAATGAGGGTAATGTTTAGTCCACACTATAGCCAGGAATTAAAGTTAATTTCAGTTTTATAAGACAGTTTGCTAGTGCTTTGCTAGTTTATCTTTTCCTGTTGACAAAAGAGAAAAACGGGCATATTATCTAAGGATTCCCTTGCCTGTAGCAGCATTTAAAGGGAAAAATATAAAGTACACAAATAAAAGATTATCTAGCAGGTTGCAAATTAGCATGACAGCCTTATTCAGGCCAGTCATGAATAATGCAAGTCAAAATCAAATATACTATTGGATCATGAAACTAGAGACGGAAAAGATTTATTATCCCATTTACCCCATTCCCATCTCCTTGTCTCCAGCTGGTTGGTCCCTACAATATATTCACCAGAGCTTTTGCCAGTCTGGTTTGAAACTCTTGGCACTTCTAAAAATTCACTTATTAATTTTATTCCCTTCTTTGGGAGCTTTCACATCTTCAGCCTGTGTTGTCATGTTGATTTCATACCAAAGTGCAGCCTGGACTGACAATGGAAGTCAGGGAAATGGAACAAATGCAGGATGAGAAATATCTTGGCATCTGTGTTTTATGGGATTCATATAAAGAGACAAAAATGTGATCAGTGAGGGTTGTTTGTTTTAAAGGCTGGAAGCTGGAAGATTTAATTGAATATACTTTATGGTGTCTTTATTCCAGAGGGGGACACTAGCATATTAGAGACTTAAAGGAGTGGGTGGCAGATTTTTGAATTAGGCTGGCAGGATGTTGGGGTTGAAAGTAGAGCAGGATGTTCTCCTGGGGCAAAAGTGTTTAAAAACTTTTACAGCTACAGAAAAACAAGGTCCAGAGACTGGGCACATGTCAGGGGTAGCAAGA